CTTCGAGGTATCACAATTGACCATTAGTTAAAAGTGTTCACCATACATATTTATTCGAGATGACACAATCAACTGTATATTCAAACCTTTGATCAAAAGTGTTTGCCATACATATTTATTCGAGGCCACACAATCAATCATATAAATAATAGTATAAGCACAATAGCTATTAAAACAATCAAATAGTTATTATAATAATCATGCAAGGTTTCCTAACAATTGGTACACATTAGGGCGAAATTGTACCTACCCGGGAAGCTAGGGCTCTCTTTAAATACTAGTGCACATCTAAGCCGAAAGCACAATAGCGGGTAAACAATCAAACACTGGGCTCTATGTTTGATTTAACATTGGACTCGGTCCAATACTTAACAATCAAAGTATATTTCCGAAGATTTATACAATGACCTGTTCGTTGGTCTGACCTGAGCATACGATTCGCGCAATTACTTAGCGAGTAACCTCAAGACTACAAGTTAGGCCACGCGGGCCGCGTATAATTAATTAAATACGATAATAATAATTATAAGATAATATCTGCACGCGTTGGATATATACTTTGCTTAAAACATTTATTTATAAAGTATTAAAAGGTTTACAGGACTTACATTATGACAAGTGAAGTTCAAGTCAGTCGCCGGGACTGCGGACTGTGATAGGCGGTAAGACTCAGCTATCAAGCGGACTAAAAACCACTGACCAGCCGGTAGTCTTAAAAGATATCGGAAAAGTCTTAGTCTAAAACTAAACCTATAATATAACTCTAAAATAAGAGTATTTTCTATGGAAATAAGCTTAAAATATTCAGAGATCTGAGAAGCGTGGAGACGGACTAAAAGACCAAAAAAGGTTGCTCTGAAAATGAGCTCTGCACGGCTTTTTATACCCCTTGTTTTTGGGTCAAAACGTATAACATTCGTATGCTTTCAGCATTGCCGAATGCTATTGTCTAAACCAATCAGAGAATTTAGATGTAATATTCCTTGACTGTGGGTATTGCATAAGGGTATTGTTAAACCAATCAGAGAATTCAAATATAGTAACTATAGCAATGCCCGAATAATGTATAAATCAATGTATGTGGTAATGTGTATGGTATTGGATTAAGTAATACATGGTGTAATGCTATGAGGCAATGCATGAGGCAATGCACAAAACGGACTCTATAAGTTCTATATAGTTGGTGGATATGTGCCGGTATTCTTTGTTTAGCCGTACATACAGTACGCGATATCAATGCTAGACATGAAAATACATTGAATTACATTAAGGCCTCATAGGATCTCATATGAAGGCATTGGCACAATACTTATACATTTTAATATTAATTACACTAATTGCTTTACCCCAAATATGAGATTACGGTATCATAGGAGGACATCACCTCTTCAACATAAGCGGTCTTAATTAGTGGTCTCGAGTTCCGGTCTACGGGTTTCGGGTCAATATTCCCGATGTATATGGAAATATAAGTACAGAACCAAATCTAATTAATTAATTAATGCTATAGACTTTGCTTTACCCTTGTAATGATATTATGGTATTATAAAGGGATGACCCCTCATATGTATTAGGGGTCTTAATTGGTTTGGCCGAATTCCGGTCTACGGGGTTTCGGGCCAAAACTGATAGCATATATGGAATTTGTATTGATGTTATATTATAATCAACTAATTAATACTACAAACCTTGCTTTACCCTAGATCTCTAATTATAATTATATACTCTGACTATCCTACTGTAATACGGTATGACCTATGGTCGTTGGTCGAGTTCCGGTCTGGGGGTTTTCGGGTATTATCCCTGAAGTATAAGTAAAAATATGTGAATCGGGTAACTTAATTAATTTATTCTGGTCAGTGGTCTTGCTTTACCCCTTATTGGACTATATCAGTGTATACTCGGATTACCCCTTTATGTGTTGGTATAGTACCCAGACTCGGCTTGAGTTCCGGTCTGGGGGTTTTTGGTTGATATTCCCAAAATATGAGTGAAAACATGTATGTTAGGTTTTTTATTAAATTAATTATAGCTAGCACGTTTGCTTTACCCCTGAATGGGTTTCATCATTATGTGCTCTGGTTACCCCTTTATGTGTTGGCATAACGTAATGACCCGGCTCGAGTTCCGGTCTGGGGGTTTTCGGTTATTGTTTGTATTGTATACCTTGAACATGAGCTTTTAGGTTGACTGGTGCTGCCATCTGTTGCTTTACCCTTCATTAGGCATTTTAATTATAATGAGGACTATCTCCTCTCATGTGACTATCCAGTGTGAATATCTAGGCCTCAAGGCCAGACCCCCAAAAGCCATTTATACATATTGCAATATTGATATATACTCAGTAACTGAGCTCCAAAATTTTAGTTTATAATTACTACGTTTGCTTTACCCTTTATTTGATATCGTGGGATTATTCCCTAATAGTTAACCTTTAAATTGATATATCACATATGTCTGTCCGCAGTTCCTGTCGGGTCCGTTCGGGTCCGTTGGGGTCGGTCTAATGTTCAATTAAGGTCTAAGTCTGATATTAATATACTGAGGCCTTGCATACTCTACAAGCCTATTATATCTCATAGCAATCACCACCTCCTGACTGTCCTGACTCCCGGCGTTCGGGTCTGGTCACTTCGGGACACTACCCCGAATCTGCTTGTAAACAAGGGTGAACAGAGTGAGCCCTCCGACTCACAGTGACACCTCCTGGATGTGGCCACTAGTGTTATGGCATAAGCTCTGATTCAAATGGTACAGTCATCGTGGGAAAGCGCGAAAAAATACTAAAAAGGGGGTAAAACCCCTATTAAGTGGGCGTATCTTAGCATAACCACTTTATTTCTTACAATATATAGCAAATAATTTTTATTTAACTCTACATGCATTCAAAAAAGTATAAATCATATTATACTTTTAATTTTGTATTTAAAAGGTATACAGTAATATTACTACTTATAATTCATAATAATTTTATTAATAACTTAAAAATTCCATAATACAAAATGTATAAAATGTTTATTAAGATTATACAGTATTTCTAAAATAACATAATTAGTGTATTTAATTGGTTGATCTAAGAGTAACATGTCTAACATTGCCCTGATCACTTTCGTACCCATTAACAGCTATGGCCGATACAATAAGTGCTGAGCCAATTACAGACGTCCAATAAATACTTTTGCCAAATACCGTAATATCCCATATAAAACCCATCACTATAAACCAACTCATTGCCAGCGCCAACGGACCGGCTGATTCATATTTATACGCCACTATACGGCACATGGTGGCCACCACACCCAAAACGCCCTGGCTAAGCAAAATTAACCAGGTAGAGGTGTCGACGGGCATTGTAAATCCATTATCCACAAAAGGCATAACGCATAGGCCTAATAACATGTAGGTAATCGCTTGCCAGGCAGCGGTTACAACCACCGGGGTGGTTTGCAAACGGCGAAAATATACATTATAAGGTACCGATATAAGTAAACCACCAATTGCCATGGCAACGCCAGCGGTGCGCGCGCTATCATAAATTGTTGCGTACGGACTAAACAAAAATGCTGGCCTAATAGTGATGAGTCCGCCGGCAATAGCGATAATACCGGTACCCACGTGTACACTAGTGATGGGCTCCCGGAGCGCTACGTAGGCAAATATAGAGACCAATACGGGCGCGCAGTTTGTGATGGCGTATACGTCCGCATACGGTAATTTACGGTACGTAAAATAAAACAATGTAATCGTACTGGCGCTAAAAGTGCATACAATAAATAGAGGTGTGCGCTGTCCCCGTACTCCGCTTATATCATGCTTTTTGATTATAGCGATTGTCATAAAAATTATGAATTGTGTAAATTGCCTAGATAGATTTTGTAATTTGTAAAATTAATTTATAACAAATATACAATTGTCAATAATACACAAAATATAAAGATTACATATTATAATTTTGTTAATAATTACAGTATGAGAATTATAACTATCAAGTATCTTATATTATATTATAAATTATAATTTAATACCTGAAAAATAAAATTTGCATCGGACACAAATAAGCCAATATAGATAAGTTGACCAGGAGGTTTAGGGACGATTCTAACACACAGACTGTATTAACAAAATAGTTTATTATTATTATTAAATATATTTTACATTAATTGATGTAAATTGCAATGATATTATTATGGATTATATAATTGGATTATTACTAGATACAACTTTTGGAAAATTTTATTCAAAATTCATGATCAAAAACATTACTTACACAGTATTGTGCATAATATGCCAAATGCCGGTATACGAGCTGGTAACTTTGTGCACCATCTAATACATTTTTTTCGCCATGATCTTGTATCATCATGATTATTTATCGTGATAAAATTGTCCATAAGTCCTTAAAAAATTAATAATTTTAACCAGTAAGATTTATATTATTTTATTAAAATAATAAATAACTATTTTGTTAAAACATACCTTCTAATATTGCTAGTAATATTAGAATACAATAATATCACCACGTCATTATAAATAGTGTAATAGATTCAACCAAAACAAAACGGCCACGTAAGTTACTTAAAATACCTGCCACATCTTTAACGTATGTACTACCAAGATGCAATTTTATAATCAAGTTTTTAAACAGACTGGGTAAAAGTAACTGATCATTTATTATAGCCGGAATCTAAATAATAAATTTATTTTTACAGTACAATACAGTATATGGATTTTATGTAATGGTAAACTCTATTTATTGTTAGTCATTGCAAATTTAGTTTTATAAAAAATAACAACAATAATTTAGCAATATCATTATAAAAATACAACATGGTATACCTTTACATAGTCTCAACTTAAACTTATATTTCATGATTTATTGACATATTTAAATGTTTACTAAAATTTTGTTTATTTCATAGGAAAATAGAGTTTTATTATATTGTAATTAAACAAATAATGTTATTAATTACAGTGTGTTTAAAAATATTGTATGATGTTTATTAAATATGGTTATATCTAAGATGCTGATGCAATGCACTTGATGAAACAAATTGTTGATTACAATTATTATGAATACATTTATGGCTTTTAATATTCATATGTCTTCTCAAATGTATTTTTAATTCAGTGTTTCGGGTAAACATTTTGTTGCAATCATTGAAATTACAAACAAATGGTTTTTCTCCCGAATGTATGCGTTTGTGTCGAATTAGATCTGATTTTTGTCTAAAATTTTTGCCACAATTTTCTTCATTACATTTAAATTTCCTTTCATTCAAATGAACACAACTTTTGTGTCGAAATAAATATTGTTTTGATGTAAAACTTTTGTGACATTCACTGAAATCACAAATAAATCTCACATTTAAATGAATGTTATTTTTGTGTGTATATAAATGACTTTGTGTCTTGAACATTCTATTACAGTTATTAAAATCACATTTAAATTGTTTTATTTCAAAATGAATTAATTTGTGTAAAGTTAAGCATTGTTTAGTTGTTGTCTTGTATTGACATTTAGGCCAAAAACAGTGCAAATAATCATCAGATTTAGTAATGATATGACAATTGTTTAGCATTTTATCACTGATTTTACATGAATTGCAATCAATTGTTTGATTGATTGAAAAATAATCATTATTTTCGCATTCAATCGCTTCACACAAAACACTATTATTTGTATTCAAAATACACTGAATTTTGTCTATTATTTCACACAAACTCTTCATAGCAATTAAATTAATCTTCATTTTATTAATTGTAAACATTGTATAACATAAATATCAAAACTATATAACTAACAAATTAGGCAAATAATGAACTCAAACACTGGATTCTTAATAACACGTGTTTTAAATATTTGTTATTTTTCAGTCAAAACTAGTTTTAATACACAAAATGTGAGACAAAATAACATTTTAATCAACAAAACACACAATAATTTTGAACACAATAAATAAATAAATTCAATAAAAATTTGACTATGATTTAGTTTAAATCCACTAAAACTCTGTGTAAAGCAAATATAACTCCAATAAAAATTATTATAAAGATGGCTGAACTGTGTTAATGAAAATACAAATCTTATAAAACATGTGCTCTCATTAAAAGTCAAAACCTGTTTATTAAATATTAATACAGTGTAACATCTTTATGGACAACATTTCATGGAAAATGTGTTTTATCATAATTAAATCAATAATATCAATAAAAGGTATATTCTTTAATCATATTTAGTAATGTATTGCAATATTTTATAATAATTAACAATCATAGCAAAAACGCAAATAACACTGATGATTTGCTTCTTTTATCAAGTTAAATATAACTGACATAATCGATTTTTAACCTGTACATAATAGGTTTAATTTTAATTTAATTTGCTGTAGTATTTAAACCAGGAAGAATATTCAATTCTATACTATTTGTCCTATCATCAACAGGCTTTTTGGCAATGGAACTTTTGCAAGCATTGCAAGCTATGGCCAATACAATGATCGCTGAACCCGTAATAGATGTCCACCAGATATGCTCACCAAATACCGTGATATCCCATACAAAACCCATAACAATTAGCGTGCATCTAACTAAATCTAGCCAACCGGGCGACTGGTAACCTTGTACTGGTATACGACACACAGCAATTATAATGTCCAAAATACCTTGACCGAATAATATAAACCAGGTATAGGTGTCCACGGGCATGGAAACTTTATCATTCACAAACGGCATGGCGCATGCGCAAACGGTAATTACTATAAGCGCCTGCCACGCGCCAATCACTGACACCGGGATGGTTTTAAGCGATTGGGTATACACATGAGACGGTATGGCTACAATAATACCGGTGATTACCATCATGAAGCCTAATGTACGATCGTTTTCAACTAGAGGTGCGTACGGGTCGAACAAAAATGCAGGTCTAATAGCAATGAGCGCGCCGGCCATTGCCATTATGAGAGCGCCTATATTTATGGCTGTAATGCCTGACTCCCGAAGCGACCAATAGGTCAACACCGGTACCAATGCGGGCGAACACATACTAATGGCGTATATGTCGGACAGCGGTAGTAATCGGTAGGCATAGTATGTGAGAAATAAGGGTATAGTTGTGCATAACAGAACAATTAGTAGAGGTATGCGCTGTTTACCATGTACGATCACACTGTGCCCATTAATCAATATTACTGTCATGTAGATTATGTACGAGGTAAACATTCTAGAGAAATAAACATGATAGTAATAAACATTAAATACGATGTTACTAGATTTGTAAATAATTTATTTATGAAAAGATATAACGTGGTAACTTTATTATTTAAATACCTAAAGAATAATATTTGTAAAACGTGTAAATTGGCCAATGTTGGTAGTTTTGCAATTAACCCAAATATCGTATCAAGCGCGCATGCTATAATTAAAACCACAGTACATTATATTAATTATAATAATAATTATAGTAATAATTATAGTAATTATATTTTATACAAATAACCGTGCACAATATGCCGCACCAAATTGGTAATTTTGCGCACCAATTGCCAAATTTATCAGGTGACTCAATATGGCCATGGTTGTTTATTGGTTCATGAATTTCAATTGAAAATCGTCTGAATAAATGTACACAATTATTTATTTAAATATTTACAATTAATGTTGAATTATTATCTATTACTATTATTATCTATTGTCTATTATCTATTACTTTATAATATTCTACGTATTTTCAATATAAAGTAGTATTTACCTTGATCGTGATTCTCCTTGCATATTTAGCATAAAACAATTGACTTTTAATTAATTTAGTATATCACGGCAATTATATTTATTACAATTAAAACTTTAATAATTATATAAACTTGACCTATAAATAATTAAATATAATAATGTTACAACAATAAGCAATATGTATAACTTCACAAAGTGATAGATAATGTTAGTAAAATACCATAACATTCAGTGTTTTAATAGTGTATTGTCATGATTAAAGTAAATGTATTATTGTATTTATAAAAATGACGTAGGATGATTTGCTATCTTAAATAAAACTAATATTAGTTACGTATTAATAGTGAAATACTTTATAAACACTAATTGATCTGGTAGAATCAAATGTCTATTTCCTACTAGGACAATCAAACGAGTTTAAACCAATGGACAATACTATTAGCGCTGAGCCAACAACCGATGTCCACAAAATACTTTCATTAAATACCGTGATATCCCATAGGAATCCCATTACAATTAATATGCCTTTGGCTAACGCCAGGGGACCGGCCGACTCGTACCGGTAGGCTATGATTTTTAAGACATTGCTAAACAGACTTAAAACACCCTGGCCAAATAACAACAGCCAGGTAGAGATGCCAACGGGCATGGCAAATCCATCGCTCACAAATGGCATACAGATGGCGGCGGCTATAGTCCCGCCGAACGCCATCCAGGCGCCAATCACGGGCACCGGGGTAGTTTTTATCCGACGCATATATACGGTTGCTGGTGCCGATATAATCAAGCACAAAACACTATTATTTGTATTCAAAATACACTGAATTTTGTATATTTTTTCACACAAACTATTCATTGCATTTAATTTACTCTTCATTTCAATTAACGAAACACTCATTAATTTTGAACACATTTTGTAAATCAGTCTAAAATAAAATATATTCAAACAGTATTCATACAAATCACACAATAATTAACAAAAACACTGTAATATTTTCAAGCAAAACACGTGTAATCCATGCGTTTTGTTCAAACAATGGATCTCTATTTCAGTTAACGTTTTGCTTTTCATTTCAAAACTGCATTTTTATGACAACCAAAACCTGTTCCCAGATATCAATCATGAGTTCTCATCAAAACCCACACAACTATAATAGACGTGTACTTAACGTCTTAATTAACATTTCAATCGATGCTATTGTTTATGGGTTACTATCCATCGGAATCTGAGGGCCGATATTGAGAGGTACTATCTGTGCGGACACCTTATATCCGACCACTCGGACAGTAACCGATGTTATTATTGTATGCATTCATGCGATACCGTAATGTCATTTATTATGGCTCAGGTATTAATATTAGTACAGTATTAATCTAAGAATTGATAGTAACTGAAGCCAGTGGTTGTGCTGTCAATCAATGTCTACTTCATTATCACATAACAGATCCACAGATGTTGTGGTCGAAGAGGTTTGCACTCATGGAAGACATGAAACACCGCTTCTCTCGAGGACTACACCAGAAGTGACACCACTTTAGACCACATCTGACTTGATTTCGCCCGAAGACTACCATTAGTATTGTTATAATGTTTTTTAAATAGAAATAATAATACTATGATGATTTAATTTAATTAATTACTATTTTCAATGTGATTTTATTAATAATTAGTATAAATAAAGTTTATTTTACGTATATTTTAAAGTATTTATTAAAATATAATTTTTCATATTACAATTAAAATAGAACGAGGCAATATATCGAAATATTTATACAATTATAAATTATCAAAGATAATATGATATTTGTGCGTTCGATAAATAACCGAAATTTTTCTATTGTGATTTTTATAATGGCTGTCAAAAGCGTTTGGTAAATGCCAACAAATCCGTTTAAACTTCATTTAATAGGTTTATTATTTAGCTATAATTACCTGTTCAAAAATTATTAAATTTATTTTAAGAAGTGGTCACTTAACCAAAGAGAGTCCATATCAAGAACATTAGAATTTTAACCTATTTTAGACTTTATCCAAGATAACTTATTATAACGTTCACAGAAACAATATATCAATCTTTGTCGGTGTATTGTCTATCACCAAATGATATAAATTGTTCACAAGGTTCAAATCGGTGATTATGACCTCACAGACCGTACCCGAACGGTCCGAACCTGAGAAGTTAACACTGTGGCGACAAAACGTCGGGCTAGATCCGATCAAAAATTTTTATATATAGAAATGTTGTCGTTCATGGGCTACTGCATGGTGATTAGTTATAACCATTTACCAGTAATAGGGTCGGTGTTCCGAGGGGTTTATTAGACATATACCCAAAATAGAGCAATTTTTGGCCTATTTCTGAACAGAATTTTTGGATTATTACCAGAAAAAAATTAATTGACTTTGGATATAAAGTTCTGTCATACCTATCCTAGACTCCAGTTATTCCTTTACCAAATTACAGGGTAAGTCATTCTCTGCAATCATGGCTTAGTAGTAAAAATTGCAAAACCAAAGTATTGGTTGAAATAGACATCATTCACTTCTATGCCTCACAGACTATCCATTTTTTATGGGATTTAAATAAAAATTTGCTGCATTGATGGTCGATAGTTGCCGATAATTATGGCTATCACATAATTTGAATTAATTATTTACTTGGCAATAAAAATGAATTTTAAATTATGGTTAATGAATTTCGGAAATTTATCGAACGCACAAATATAATTAAGTTGAATGATAGATTATATATTTAAAATATAATAATTAATTATGTTTACATTTAATATGTTTTTTCAAATCACTCAATGTAACATAGCGTTGATTACAGTTATTATAAAAACATTTATGAACTTTTATATTATTATGTCTTTTCATATGTAGTTTTGCATCATATTTTGTGCGAAAGCTTTTGTTACAATCATTGAAATGACAAATAAATGGTTTTTCTCCCGAATGTATGCGTTTGTGTCGAATTAAATTTGATTTTTGATCAAAACTTTTGCCACAATTTTCTTCATTACATTTGAATTTTCTTTCATTCAAATGAACACAACATTTGTGTTGAATTAACTTTTGTTTTGTTGTAAAACTTTTGTGGCATTTATTGAAATCACAAATAAATCTCACATTTAAATGAATACTATTTTTGTGTCTTTGAAGAACACGTTTTAATTTATAACTTTTATTACAATTATTGAAATCACATTTAAATGGTTTTATTACTGAATGTTTTAAATGATGTCTATAAAGATTGCCTTTTGATTGTGTTTTGTATTGACATTTAGGCCAAAAACAGTGAAAATAATCATCAGATTTAGTAATGATATGACAATTGTTTAGCATTTTATCACTGATTTTACATGAATTGCAATCAATTGTTTGATTGATTGAAAAATAATCATTATTTTCGCATTCAATCGCTTCACACAAAACACTATTATTTGTNTCATCAGATTTAGTAATGATATGACAATTGTTTAGCATTTTATCACTGATTTTACATGAATTGCAATCAATTGTTTGATTGATTGAAAAATAATCATTATTTTCGCATTCAATCGCTTCACACAAAACACTATTATTTGTATTCAAAATACACTGAATTTTGTCTATTATTTCACACAAACTCTTCATNTTGCAATCAATTGTTTGATTGATTGAAAAATAATCATTATTTTCGCATTCAATCGCTTCACACAAAACACTATTATTTGTATTCAAAATACACTGAATTTTGTCTATTATTTCACACAAACTCTTCATTGCATTTAATTTACTCTTCATTTCAATCAACGAAACACTCATTAATTTTGAACACATTTTAAACAATAAATATTTTAACAAATTATTGATTTTCACTGAAATAATTTCCTTCAAACTTAAACATCACTTTATATACTATCGTCGATAATAATGATCCGGTTTATTATCTATACATTTAAGGCATACCTGATTATAATCTTTAATCCATTATAACTAATACAATATACCTTTTAAACTGAGTTATTGCCCTCTCTATGGCTTATACGGCAAACAACTCATATATCTCTTAATCTTAAGACTTTTAAATCAAACAATTTATGTATTGTTCAAAGTTTCAGTGAATTACAATTAATACAAACTCATATATAAAACATATAAACAACAACAAATAATTAGCTATTAGTATTTAAAAAATCTTTATTTGTACATAGTCGTAATTCTACAATTAAATTAAATTTATTTGCAATACAAAGTATTCCGTAAATAAATATTGATGACCGACATGTGTTTTCATGAATCTATTTTATTATATTTTAAAACTCTGTGTTTAACTATATTTATATGAATACCATGTGTCTAGTTTAATTAGTTGCTGCCAGGTGCTTCGTTTCAATTGGACCATAATAAAACCTTAAAATAACATATGTCACGCTAATTAAACTTATTTATTAAAATTATTTGTAAAACATTGTAGAAATAC